TGTGTGCATGACAGTTGGCCGGCATAGTGTACCCCAACGATGGCAATTGTCACCTTGACGAGAACGGATACTACACGGAATCTCTCACTCAGGTTTGTACACATAATACTGTACTAGACATTGAGAAATCAAGCGGCAACGGGGCGCAGGCCTTGCAACTGTGAGCGTTGCGGGTCCATGTTTGTAGTGTGTGCGTGACCGACAGTATGTGTACGTGAAATACAGTGCATGTATGTGAACTATAGTGCATGTATGTGAACTAGAGTGCATGTATGTGAACTATAGCGCATGTGCGAGCTAAAGTAGTAAGGGTGCCGGCTCCGGTCATTCCACTGGATTTCAATCAGTCCACAGCAGTACATAGTAGTGAATATCTGGACAGTTAGCTGTAGTGTGTAGTGTGTATACTGCATTGCTGACTGTCATTGCTGGCTGGGGAACATGATTCATTGTTGGCTGGGGAACATGACTCATTGCGGGCTGGGGAACATGACTCATTGTGAGCTGGGGAACATGACTCATTGCGGGCTGGGGAACATGACTCATTGTGAGCTGGGGAACATGACTCATTGCGGGCTGGTGAACATGACTCATTGCTGGCTGGGGAATAGGATTCATTGCTGGCTGGGGAATATGATTCATTGCGGGCTGGGGAACATGACTCATTGCGGGCTGGGGAACATGACTCATTGCTGGCTGGGGAACATGACTCATTGCTGGCTGGGGAATATGATTCATTGCTGGCTGGGGAACATGACTCATTGCTGGCTGGGGAACACGACTCATTGCGGGCTGGTGAACATGACTCATTGCTGGCTGGGGAATAGGATTCACTGCTGGCTGGGGAATATGACTCATTGCTGGCTGGTGAACATGACTCATTGCTGGCTGGGGAACATGACTCATTGCGAGCTTGGGAACATGACTCATTGCGGGCTGGGGAACATGACTCATTGCTGGCTGGGGAACATGACTCATTGCTGGCTGGGGAATATGATTTTGTTCATTACGCTATTCTGTTTGTTGGTGAGTTAGTCCACAGGTTTGAGATCATGGTGGATTACATCAAGAGGGGGATGCGGGGGGGAGGGGGGGGGGGGGGCAGAAACTGTTGTGGAGGTCCAATACCACAGTGCTGGTGGGTCGACTGTATGTCAATGTCTACTGTATTGACCCACATCTAAGCCCATGCACTTAAAAGCGAGATATTGCTATATTTGAAGTTTTTGAAGGTCGATCGGTCTCACATATAGGCACGTGTACTTGTAATTGAGTTACCAGTGTGGAATTTGGAAATTGCACATTTAGCCATGCTATGTAAAGAGAGATGATAATCATGGTGGCGTCAGTGTGTCGCGGGATTGGGTTCACTTATAAGCCCATGTGCGCTTATAATGTGAGGGTGCGCTTATGCCCGGATATGGGCACATGCGCTTTGCAATGCGCGAGTCACTACTGTATGTCCAACTCGGATGGAGAGCCAAGGATTAAAATTAAAAAAGAGAGGATTTGTAAACTATGATCCTCTCTTTTTTAAACTACTGTACGTGTTGACCTTCCACCTGTTCTCCTGTGTGGTATCCAGGACTACCCTTCGGTTGGCTGGCTCAACGAACGACTAGTCAACCACAGCATACTGCCAATCTTCACTGTTACTGGCAGGGTCATCAACTCCTACCACGTAAGTGAATGATGCCATTGTGATGTCATCGTTGTCATCACCGTGTAATGATGTCATCAGCATGACATTATGGTATGATGACATCATTGCGTTATCATGATATCATCGCGATGTCATCATTTCCCGCGCATGTGTAGGGCTACATATTATGATAAATAACCAGGAGAGAGCAGTACAAGCACGTCATGTATTCATTGTCTGTCGGTATAGGAAAGAGAGAAGGGACACATGGATGCGCATTGTGAGCAACTGTTCACCACTGTAACTAGATACCATGCACACACGAGTAACGATGAACCCGAGATCCTTGGTCAGAGGAGTTACTTCTGCCACCACACCACCATCACCACCACCACCACCACCACCACCACCACCACCACCACCACCACCACCACCACCACCACCACCACCACCACCACCACCACTTCCATCCAATAGGTCACCACCCCCGCATCTGATTGTTCTGTGGTATTCAGTAGAAAAAAATCATACGGTCAGAAAAGGTGACAAATATACATCAGACTGATAGAGTATTAAAAGCTATTCAATGACACAACACATAGCTCCAACACATCTCCGACGCGCAAACCAACAGTTTTTTTTCAACTTGAAAATTGGAACTTGTCTGTCTGTATATATGTCTGTCTGCATGTCTGTCTGCCTGTCTGTCTGCCTGTCTGTCTGCCTGCATGTCTGTCTGTCTGTCTGTATGTATGTATGTATGTATGTATGTATGTATGTATGTATGTATGTATGTATGTATGTATGTTTGGCAACGGCTTGCAACTCACACAGTGATGCACAAGCACAGTTGCAAAC